CTATTCTATTCTATTCTATTCTATTCTATTCTATTCTATTCTATTCTGTTCTGTTCTGTTCTGTTCTGTTCTGTTCTGTTCTGTTCCATTCCATTCCATTCCATTCCTATCATTCATTTGTACACTATCACTGGCAATGGGAGTCAGCTGGTTTATATGGGTTCATTTTTATCCATAATAAAAAATCTGAAACAGCTAAGCTATGTTTGTGAGACACCTCTCAAGGGTAGCTGAAGAGTCAAGTTAAGCCTTGAAGTGTCAAGAGGATCATGGTTCACATACAATATATGTGTCTTAGTGGTTCCAGATGGCTCTCTAAATGTACTTGGGGTATCTCCCATCTTGTCTGTTGACAAGACTGTTGAAGCCCTGGCTGATCTGTTGAATAATCTGTTGACACCATAATTCCCAATCTGTCTTTCCTTTGTACAGTTGATTAAAGAGCTTAGTTTGCTGGGGAGCTAAAAACAGTGAAAAGCAATGAACCAAGAGATATATATTATGGTATAGAAAGTAATAAGGAGAAGAATAGCAAAATATGAAAGCAGAATATTACAGGAACTGGGCATGGCTAATCTAGTGAAGAGAAGGACCAGGGGAGACATGATAGCAGTGTTCCAATATTTGAGGGGCTGCCACAGAGAGGAAGGGGTCAAGCTATTTTCTAAAGCACCCGAAGGCCACACAAAGAATAATGGATGGAAACTGAACAAGGGGAGATTTAACCTGGAAATAAGGAGAAACTTTCTGACAGTAAGAACAATCAACCAATGAAACAGCTTGCCTTCAGAAGTTGTGGGAGCACCATCACTTGACACTTTCAAGAAGAGATTGGACTGCCATCTGTCAGAAATGATATAGGGTCTTCTGCTTTGGCAGTGGGTTGGACTAGATGACCTACAATTATCTGTTATCTGTTACTAAACAGAAAAATAGCAGAGATACCTATGAATTCTAAGCCTCATGTTTAGAGTAATTTTATTGCCCCACCGTTTCATCTACATCAAAGTCACAATATGTTTTAAAAGCCCAAATAATTAATAGGGCCAACAGATGCCTCTGGCTATTGCATTGAATGCACTATAACCAGATATATGGTGGGAAGGAGGAACCCTTCAGGTATTTTTGAGCTCTGCATATGTGTTGCATAGGTAGAATTGTTTTGTTCCAGCTGCTTGGAACATTCTAATTAAGACTTGCAAAGCAGAAATCTTTATTGATTATAAGTTCTAAGCCTGAAGTACTTTCTTTTCTATGATAATGATAAGCCCATTGAATTGGAAGAGGGAAAAAATAACACAAGAGTGCTAACATGGAAAACATACACAGAAATCATATCAACACTGGAAAGAATAGTATTCTTATTACTATATTGTTATTAATATCCATTTTTGTTTTATTACTATTATTTCTCTCTACCTATGTAAATAAACAAGAGATGATAAAGTAACGAATAACAAACGGACTCTAAACATTTATGAAATACCTCTATTCAAATTTGATGACCAGCTGTTGGTGACTCAATTTAAGCACATAGAGTTCAAGGAAAATCAGATGTTTCCCAGTTTAACCAAAGAACTAAAGGTTGAAAGTTTTAAAATATACACGAGGGTGCTTGAGAATTAAATCCTTAACATGCTATAGAGAGGCACTAATTAAAGTGTCGGACTGGAGAAACATAGAGACATTAGCCATGAAAGCTGGTTGGGTGACTTACAGAGATGGCATTCAGCCAGTTCTGACAGGTTTTGGAGAACCGATAGTGGACATTTTGAGTAGTTTGGAGAACCAGTTAATACCACCTCTGCCTGGCCCCAACCCCATCTATTCTCTGCCTCCCGGGTCCCAGCTGATTGGCAGGGACTTCTTTTGTTGCCCTGAACAGGAGAATGGAGCTGGAAAGCAGGTTAGTGGGGTGGGGAGGGAATGGGGGTTTTACAGTATTCTTCCCCTGCAGTGGGATAGAAATGGGGATTTTACAGTATCCTTTCCCTGCCACATCCACCAAGCCATGCCCCCCAAGCCACACCACACCCACCAAGCCACACCATGCCCCCCAAGCCATGCCCAAATTACTAAAAAATTTGAATACCACCACTGGTGACTTAGGGTCAGTGACCCCACCTTTCTCACAGCAATGTTGATGTGAGGGGAGAAATTGTGGTGAAGAGGTGTATGGCTGCTTGAGCTCCTGAAGGAAAGTTGGGATATAAACCTGATAGATAAAGAGATAAAGAGATGTGATCCTTCAACACACTTCTCACTGGCCATATTGGTTACTTCTCAGGATTGTGTTCCTGAAATTCCAAAACTAAGACGTAACCTTTCCTGTTATAGCTGGGATCAGTAAGGAGTTCTATAATTATCACTGAACATGAAGACGATCTGAACTAATCGGTTTAGTTTCTAAAATTCTGTCATTAAAGAGCATGGTAATGTTTTACTTCAGCATCGGTCTCTCAAATGCTTGGACCCAGAATTTGCTTTAGAAACCATGATCAGATTGCCTTATCACACATCACAGCACTTCTGTGCTGTCCAGGCCTTGGTTCTGATGTATGGGGAGTGTCCATGAAAATACCTGTTCAATTGAGGAACCCCGCCTTCCCCCCCCGCCCCCGTCTCCAGTGAGCTCAGGAAGATTTGATGAATGGTGGAAATGCATCCAGTCAGAGTAATGAGGCCCATGCTGGCTTAGCCAACCAATTCAGACATTCATCAGGACTATTATATTCTGAGTGTGCTGCTTGCTGAGAAGTACTCAGCAGGCGATAAAAGAGCATCAGCTCAGCCAGCCTCCAAGTCACAGGAATCATTACCTTATTTATTTATTTTTTAAAGGGAGAGGATTATACTCTTTCTCTCCAGAATGCCCCAAGCATAGGATTTCATTCACAAATGTTTCAAGTGAGAAGCCATTCATTATCTTTGAAGCAAGTAACCTTAAAGTTTAGTCTGACATTTTGAGCTGGTTTGACACTTTGATCTTGTCTTGTAAATGAACATTGCAAGTTTTCCTTCTGGATTTAGAACTGCTTGGAATCTCAGCAGCTGTGGTTTCTTCATGGGATATAAGGCGTGGACCTCCAGATGTTGCTGAACCTCAAATCTCAAGAGCCCCCCCAAACTATTGTTGGAAGAAATCTCCATCTGGTTCAGTTCCCAGAGTAGAGAAAGATACTGGAAACATGGAGGCTGATTAGAAAGATGATTTAATGAAGCAGAAGCATCAAGCACATGGTCCTGGTGCAGCTGACCACATGGAGTTGAGAGAGAGAGGGATATTTATACCCTCTCTTGGGTTTTGTCCTTGAGCTTCCTGTTCCTGTGCAAGAAATGTATTCTATTGGCTGTAGTCAGACCTCCCATGTGGGTTTGTGTTTGTCTGAATCAAGTTTGGTTGAAGCCTGGAGAGTGATGCAATGTCCCCAGGTGATTGCGCCATGTAGTGAGCTCTGCTGCTAGATAATCCTATTATGTCCTGGAAGGTCATGCCTTAATCCCATCACCCTGGAGCTGAAGGTCTTTTGTCTTGTAGATAGGCTGGTCCAGTCCTTCTTAATGGGCACCAAGTATCTGCTGGGGGCAGGAAGCTCGGGCTGAGTTTCTGTCTCCCTTAAGATTTCCATTTCTCTTTTAGGGGAAATATAATACTCTGCCTTTTTAAATATTTCTCAAAATATTTCATTCTTCTAGGAGGGGTGGCTTCCCTTATTGCAACGTCAATAAGAATGCTGGGAGTTGATGGATCAATATCATTTGAAAAACTGCAAATATGCCTCCTTTTGCCTCCTGGGCCTCAGGGAAACCTCCTAGGTGAAGCAGTAAGGCAGCAAGGAAAAGAAATACCTTAAGGCAGTGATCCCCAACCTTTCTTATGCCGTGGCCCGGTATTCCCAACCTTTTTTATGGCACGGCCCGGTACCGGCATTAGCTGGGCGCCGCCATCTTTTTTTGATGAAAAAGTGCTTCCGGTGAGCTTTCTACCCGGAAAAGCTCACCGGAAGCACTTTTTCATCAAAAAAAGATGGTGGCGCCCAGCAAACCAGCGGCCCGGTAGGGCTTGTTCCACGGACCGGTACCGGTCCATGGACCGGTGGTTGGGGACCCCTGCCTTAAGGAGTGACTGCGCAGGGGAGAATGCAGTCAGCAATGTTGGGCATGCGTGTGATGTTGCACATGCGTGATAAGGACTGACTGGGAGGGGAGGGGAGGGGTGGGCAGAGAGGGGCAGGACCAGCCAGGGGCACAATTTGCCATTTCTCCAAACTGCGTAGAATTGTAACAACCGGTTCTATAGAAAGGTCCGAACTGGTGGAGTCCCACTCCTGTATATACCCAGGGTTAAAGCAAGCCAGATCATTCCTCCTCATCAGCATGGTTGCCATTTTTCTACAGCCATTCTTTTAACATTGGGCCAGTGAGATAACTTAGAAATCCTTCCCATGAAATGTCTGTCTTACTGTGTGGCAGTGTACTTTCTTGAATTTCTGGTGTTCATTTTGGGGCTGGGGGAAGAATGCAGAGGCTCAGAGGTTTTTTACTTCCAGGCCATGCTGTAGGTTATGGAGGAGTTTGGGGGTTCATGGTCTTCATGCAGTAATGCACTTGTCCTAGTATATCCAGTGCACAACCATACTTTTTGTCTCTTCTTTATCTCTGATATGTTGGTGACCTAAGTTTGGAGGACATGTGATTTATCAATGTGTCAAGGCTATGTCTTCCTTTCTAAACCTCAATAATCTGTTATACTGAATCTCTGTTAGAGGTGTTGTTTGCTCAGAAACCATCAGTCAATCAATCATCTTACTACCATATTTCATGATAATTCTGGATAGGAAGGAGCAAGTCTGTGACAGAGGGTCTGCCCAAGGACATCTCTGCTGCTAGATAGGCAAGTAGATGTGTGATGACCTGGGGCATGGCATGAAGGTAACACAGCCAGAGAACAGATATGAGTCCCTTTATTTGCTCCAACTTGCCCCCCAATGTCCCGTTCGCTCTCTGGCCTGGAGAAAAACTCTCCCACGAACCTGCAGCAGCCTCTGGCTGCAGATACGCCAGTCCAAATGCTGTAAGCAGACTGACTGCAATCAATCACTCCAGCAGGGCAAGATAATGAGTCCAAGAAGAATCACGACAATAATTCCAGCAAGGCAAGATAAGCACACAGAAGCATGGCAATAATTCAAACAATTATTAGGGATGCTGGGAATGCAGGCCACAGCTCTCAATACTGGATGAATTCAGCTTTAAACTCCATCCCCAGTGTGCCTTGTGAAGGGAATCAGGGCCCTTTCCTCCCTTGTAAGCCATGCCACCCATGTTGCTCTCTTCTGCGTTCTTTTCTGCACGCCATAGAATGAGGATGGGGTGGGCCTTGGTCTTCATCTGAACCCTTTCTCCCTTGTTCTACCTCATTCCTGCTCTGCCCAGCCTGATTTTGCCCTTCCCCAGTTTCCTCCACAGCCAACGGAGCCCCTCTCCTGCTGTCTGTCAGCTGTTCATCTTCCCTCTCAGATTCAGACTCCAATG